TTTTTTTTTTCCTCTCTCGCACTGCTACTGTGTCCCGCCTCTCGGTGTAACATCATCGGATCTGTCGCTTTGAGACATTTGATCTGCGGTCGCATTTCACTGCTTGGAGAGTCGCTACGTGGTTGGAGGAGAGACTCACAGCAGCACTCAGTGAATATTAACCAGCAGCTACTTCAATGTTTAAGTTAAAGTTAGGAGACGGGTTGGTTAAAAAAACGTAGAGATCATACCACTGAAAAAATCTGTTTGTTAAACATACGGAGCTTTTTCAGCTAAAAATGGCAACAAATTGTAAGTTTATACAAGTTAGTATTATAATGCAAGAAGCTTGAAAAAACATAGTTTGTTCTCCTTTACTACGGTAGTTAAAAAAAAATCTTGGCTTCTCAGAGGACCATGACTCCCAGTTACAGGTTGAAGTGTTTTCTTATTGAACAGACAGAATCAGACTGCAGAGCTTCTACATATCTTGACATTTTGTTTCTGGCGTCATTATATTGTAAAGAGGTTCATAAATCTTTTTAAACAGAGAGAAGCAGAGAGAGCTGCAGATTTAAAGGGGAAACAGATTTACTGCAACATGTAATAGAATATATCTCAAAGTTTACCAGAAAGTCTACAAGAAAAAAATATGCTTTGCTATATTTAAAATGCAATATATCCATATTTTTCTGGATGGATGAATGGATGGAATTGAAACTGTACTTCTAGGGATGCATGATCTATCGATTTTGGCGTTGGAATCGGCTGTTATTCATTATTATTTTTATACATTAACGTTTTTGGGCCCTATATATATAATGCACTAAAAGACATCTCTCTGGCTATCTAGAAATATAAATATCAGTGTATTATGGTTCTCTTGTGTTCTCAACAATAGGAAAGCATTCAATAAATAGATGTTTGAGCTCATTTTTGGAAAATGCAAAAACCTAAATAAAGTGTTCTGGTGGAGTACTTGTAGGTCCATCGGCATCCACCCTTAGCGTGTCCCCACCAACTTTCATCACAAAGTTACACCCTTGCCTCATTGTATTGAATGTGCACACATAAAACATTTAAAATTCACTTGGAATGTAGTTTGCATGCTCGTATTTTAAATAAAACTGCTTATATGAATACTTGTTGCATTTTAGCCCCCTTAGGCTGAATTCAAACTTCATACCTGACTTCACAGATGGCCAGAAGACAGATATTGAGACCCTTAACAAAGGAGGGAAGCATTAAAAGGTCATTGCTAAGGAGGCTGGAAAGAGATTATTGCAGACAAACAATAAAAGGTTTAGTGGAAGGAAAAGCTGTGGTGGGAAAAGATGAGCAAACAGACCTGGAATAAGACAAAAAAACTGCTGTCAAATTCCTTCATGACTGTATTGATGCAGTAATTTAAGCAAAAGGAGACCAGAATGAGTATGTAGTAAATATAAACAACTAAATACATGGAGATCCTGAAGAGGCTGACATTTCTGTTTAAAAACTAACTTCTGATGTGATTTTTTTTCCTCATTTTCCTTTAAGTTGTTGTCACAACAAGCTATGTGTG